GGAGTAGAAAGAAGGCCCGAATAAGCAAAGCACTCCTTAAAAATAGAAAAAAGGTAGGCGGCATCTCACTCCCTGATTTCAAATCCTACTACACTGCTGTGGTGGTGAAGACAGCATGGTACTGGTACGATGACAGACACATAGATTGATGGAATAGAATTGAGAACCTGGAAATCAGCCCATCTATGTATGTTCAACTGATTTTTGACAAGGATATGAAATCAGTTAAGTGGGGAAATTACAGCAAAATTGGAAAACTATCTGCAGAAGACTCAAGCAAGGTCCACACCTCACTCCATATACAAAAACCAACTCAAGGTGGATCATAGACCTCGGACTAAAACCAAGGACTATAAACTTCCATTAAAGAAAAGCTTGGAAGAACTCTAGTAGTCCTAATCCACAACATAAACAGTGTTCCAGGTATCCTGAAAAATCTACAACCAGGAGAAGATAAAATAGATGAATGGGACCTTCTGAGAATCAAATCCCTACGCACATTCAAAAACTTCTCCAACAGGGTAAACAGGGAAGTCACAGACTGGGACAAAGTATTCGGTAATGACATGTCAGATAAGGGATTTATATCTAGAATTTATAAAATACTCAAGCACCACAACAAGATAAGGGTAAATAATCCAATAGAAAAATGGGCACAGGATATGAACAAACACTTCACCAAAGAAGACATTCAGATGGCCAACAAGCAAATGAAGAAATACTAAAAGTCCCTAGCTCTAAGAGAGATGCAAATCAGAACAACTATGAGATATCATCTCACCCCAGTCAGAATAGCAAAATTTATCAGAACAACAAGCAACAAATGCTGGCGAGGTTGTGGAGAAACTGGAACCCTTATTCACTGTTGGTGGGAGTGTAAAATGGTGCCACCACCGTGGAAAGTGGTGTGGTGCTTTCCCAAAAAGTTGCAAATAGAGATACCATTTGACCCAGCAATTCCACTACTGGGAATATACCCCAAAGAGGCCATAACCACCATCCAGGCAGATATATGCACACCCATGTTTATCATGGCTTTGTTCACAATAGAAAAGAATTGCAAACAACCCAGGTGCCCATCAACAAACGAATGGATAGAGAAGCTGTGGTATATTCACACAATGGAATATTATGCTGCATTGGAAAAACAAGGAACTCATGCAGTATTATTCAAAATGGGTGACCCTGGAGGACATTATGATGAGTGAAGTATCTAAGTCACAAAAGGACAAATACTGCATAGTGCCATTGTTGTAGAATGGGACTGATATCAGGGTTGGGGTAAGACTGAGAAAAACTGGATAAATTATGTATACTGCATTAAAACAGATGAGGGAGAGAAAAGTTTAAAAGTGATATATGATAGGGTATTTTGGTTATCACAAGAGTCCAGAATGAAGGCTGCATAGTGGAGTGTACTCGGGGTGGGGTTGGGGAGGGCTGCGGGGGATTGTATACCAATGAAGGAATTTTTCTTTTACTTTTCAAAGAGAAGAGCGAACTGGGGGAGGGGTGGGCAGGGAGAAAAGTGCAACAGTGAATGGAAATCCAAAATCTCTATAAATGTTCACTAAAATTAATAAAATAATTTAAAAAGAAACCTTAAATACCTATTCGGAAAGGCATAAAACATTCCACTTTATTATATTTTGAATTCTGCACCTTGCAACTTGGATGATAGGATGTCAATAAAATTAATTAAACATTTCCATAAGCCACAGGGGTTGAGGCACCAAAAAAAGAAGAGGTCCTGAAACTTGCTCTTGAATATAAAGTAGATAAAGTGAATGAAAGGGAGCTCTGGTAGCCTAGTGGGTAAGGAGTAGCACTGCCAACTCGAAGATACACAGTTCGAATCTGCCAGCTGCCACACAGGAGAAAAATGGGCATTCTCTTCCCATGCAATTTACAGTCTCCAAAAATCCACTGGAGGGAGGGTCAGCTATACTTAGGTTCTGACCATGGCAATCAGTGATTGTGAGTGAATTTTGTACTAGACATGCATGTGACTACATCCCAGAGTTATTATTTAGTGAGTTTTAACTTGTTGATGTTTATCCATATACAACTGCATCACAATTTATGCTTTCTCACCAGATCATCTTAGATTGCCTGAATTTTTTGTGCTTGCTTTGTGTGTGATCCTTGTAACTTATTGTAATTTTTGTAGGTGCCATCAAGTCAAATATGAGCCATAGTGACTATAAGCAACAGATCTGAACCCTGTCCTATCCCGTGCCATCCTCACAATCTCTGACATACTCAAGCCCATTGCTGTAGTCACTATGTCAGTCCATCTGGTTGAGGGTCGTCTTCTCTTTTGCCAACCCTCTACCTTTCCAAGCATGATCCTAGTAACATGCCCAAAGCATGTGAGATAAAGCTCTATTATCTTTGCCTTTACATAGCACTCTGGCTGCAATTTTTCCAAGGTTTGTTCTCTTGGAAGTCTATGGGATATTTAGTACTCTTCTCCAACACCACAGTTCAAAGGCATCAATTCTTCTGTCATTCTTATTCATTGTCCAGCTCTCAGTAGCATAACAAATTATTTAAAAGAGCATGTCCTGAATCAGGTGCACCTTAGTTCTCCAACTGACATCATTGTTCCTCAATAGTTTGGAGAGGTCTCTGACTGCAGCCTTCCCCGGTGCAATATGTCTCCTGGTCTCCTTATTGCTGGAGCCTCTTTGTACTTTAAATCTGTATTTTCATTTTAGAAGTTACTTTTATACCTCTGACTTTGGCTTGTATTCACTGACTCCATACCATGAGCAATGACAAAATTACTACTTCCTCGCTTAATGACATGGTAAGGTTTCAAAGAACAGTTAGTTGTAAGCTAAATCAGTGATATGGAAACATTGGGGGTAAAGCCCCATCTTTAATAACAGATGCTCACCATGTCCTTCCCCATCACTCACTGCCTATCAGGTGCCCCCCCAGGGCACCTTGGGATACAGGTGGAGAAGTGGGGTTCCTCACCATTGAGGAGCCCAGAGGGATTGGAGTGGTGTCAGTAGTGGTCAGGTGTTCATGGACATCCATCACCACCTAGCACCTGCTTGGGGCAGAGATCCCATGTGTCCTTCACCCACCACCTCCCCCTTCCACTGTGGGAGGGGACCCTGCTGGCACTCCATCCACCCTTGCTCTGCCGCTCCCCAACAAAGCCCCTTTTCTCTCTCCCTCTTTGCCTCACACTCACCACCCAGCAACTTCAGACCCTCACCTGGTCTTGTTCTGCCCCCCTGCAACTTTATTATGTCTTTTGATCATCACCTTGCACTCTGTGAGGTTGATCCAAACATCACAAATGAACAGAAGAAGGCATCCCACAGCTGGTCGACTACTGTCCTTCATGTGTCCCAGTTGTTGAGGGATCTCTCTGATACAGCATTTGAGTGGCCCTTGGAGGGCACTCTGGGCCCAGCTACAGCCTCATGAGGGGATCAAATAATCAGAGATGCCACCTGAGAATGTTCTCAAAGTTATTACAAATGTGGGATCTCAAAGTTATTACAAATTTGGCATGCCAACAAGAGAGTTTATAAATGAGGAGTGGACGTATTTCTTTTCTCCTTCCTTCACCACCACCTAGTGGATTTTCTCTTGTACTGTTCAATGTATTTTTCACTTCTGTCAGCTTTTTTAATGTTCCAAAACCATTACATTTAGGATTAAGTCTTTCTCAGAGCATTCTTTTTAGATTTTCCTCTTTCTCCTGGCCCCTCACCATCTGATCTAGGAAGAACAAAGTACCAGCTTATAGAGGAGTTTTCAGAAGCATAACTCAGGTGTGTCCCATTCAGAGGCTCTTATCAGGGGAGCACATCCTGCCTGAGCACCCTAAGTATAGGGTTGCTAGACCCATGGCACAACCCCTTACTTGTGGGTTCCCCCCTTCTCCTGAGGTGTCTAGGCAAATGCACAGGGACTCTCTAGATTATGAAAAGCTCTACCTAACTCTCCACGGTGGTAACAAGACTGAATTTCTAAGCATTCATCCTTTCCTTTTTAGTCTCTCATCCTAATATGGGCAAATATTGTCCAATGGAACAGTCTTGGAAGAAATCCTGGACTAGCTTTCTTTTGCATTTGACAATAGTCCCACTTTCACCATGCCACCACCATCACCAAGTCCCTTCCACAATCTTTCCACCACTGCCAAGTCCCTTCCACCCTTACACCAAGGGCCTGCTGGAGCTCCCCCCAAATGCCAGAGTTCAGGCCAACAGGATCAGTGCTGCCATTGGCCACCAGGGACAGAGAATTCTGGTAAGACACACGTCTGCAACGGCCTTGCAGATCCCTCTTCCCTTCCAGTTTCTGCTCTTGTACCTGTTTCTTTGCAGTCATAACTTTGATACCCAGTCTGTTCTGGATTTCCTACAACAATTCCACTCACATCCCTACCCCCAGTGTAAGATTACTTGTTTACACAGAGTCAAGTGGAAAGCAGAAGAACTCCCCAGACTGGGACCAAACAAATGAAATTGTGATTTTGTGGCACCAAGAGAGTGGCAAGAAACCCTTCTGAGGAGGCCTCGTTGGTGCCCCTTGAATCACCACAGGCAGGGCAGGTGGCAATCACACAGCACAAACTGTAGACCAGCGTCTGCTTCCACTCACTGGCCATGTGATTAGTCAAACTCAAGCGCACTCCTTCCCCTCACCCACCAGGAAGCTCACACATCATCATCATCATCACTAGAGTTTATTTAACTTGGTACTGTTCTGGTAAAGGGGTGAGCTTGGGGGATTCTCCCCAAGACAGATGCCCCACTCATCTGAGCATCACTTTGCTGGTCACTAGAGTTACGGCATCTAACTCTATCCTAAAAGCCTTAGCCACTCTGGAGCCTAAGGTTCTATGGTGTAACCTGGATGGATGAAGGGATGGATGGATGGATGGATGGATGGATGGATGGATGGATGGATGGATGGAAGGATGGATGGAAGGGACTCCAGGTCTCTGAGCATTCATTATGGGGAGCAGCTTAGCTGGGTGGAGTCTCACTACCAAGTGGATCTTGGGCTGGTTCACAGGAGGTCCTTCCACCTTTGTCCCCGTTGCGGAAGATGACTGTGGCATAAGTCACAGGCTTAGCACAGACCAGATTAGGTAGAGGAGGTGATGGGGAGGGAGGTGGAGGATCCCCCGATAGGGGATCAAGGGGAGGGCTGGCGTAGGTGCTGTTGTCAAAGGAGGGTAGTGAATCCAGTTTAACAAACGGTACATCCGATGGCAGATCGACAGCCAGGCCAGAATCATTGATGTGGTAGTTCACAGAGTGGGGACCCTGTAACAGAAGCAGATAAATCAGGAGAGAGAGGACACCTTCTGTGCTTTGATGCCCTTTGGTGGGAAGTCTGTGGCTTAGTCTCTCAAATCCTCAAGGCTTCAGTTAGCAAGAGGGCTTTACTAGGTGCCTTCTGAAATATTCAAGCATGGAGTTTCACCCAAAATCTGGGAAAGTGAGATACTGAGGGAAACTATTGGTACCACATCTACAGCATGCAGGAGGAAGGTTTGGCCCCTGGCTGGGTCCAGGCTCTTTCTTCATTCCTTCACTCTGGGGCCTCTCAGGGAGCATCATAGATGGAGGGTTCTGGGGAATTTTGTGCTGGGGGCCTACTGAGGCCTCTTACCACGCCTGGCATTCTGCTTCTCTGCAATGGTCTACAGGCAGCAAGCTTGTTCCCTGGAGAGACAGAGGATAGTAGCATGGTCTGCTCCCTGTGCTGGCTCACAGTCCAACCCCCATGCCCTGCTGCCCCGGGCACTAAACCTTTACCCTCTTAGTCTCTCCATCCCTGCAGACTCCCCTAAATTTCCTCACCCACTTGCTGTTTTCACAATTTCCATCAACCTGCCGATTAACACAGCCCACCTTCCTAAGCTCTGCTCCAAGCTCACTGCCTCATTCTTTGCAATTCCCTTCTTCCCTCAAATCTTTTCCCACCAAATCTCCTTCCCTTTAACTGTGTGACATATGGGGACCTTTATTATGTCTAACAGTCACATCTGCAGGAGGAGCAGCCTTAGACTCTTGGTCTCTTCTACAAAACTGGTTGACAGAAGACTCAAGGGACCAGATTGGGACAAGCAGCTACCTACCTTTCCTTTTGACCATTATGGCAAATAACACCACCGCCACCAACAGCAGGCCTGGCAGGAGCGCAGCGCCCCAGATCAAAGGGATGCTGAGGGGCAGAAAGGGACAGTGGGCTTAGCTGGCAGAGCTCTTTGCCAGGAGTCCCAGAAGCAGTGATAGTGGCTCAGTGCGGCACAAGCAGGAGAAAAGAGATGTAGGAGCTCAAATGAGGAGGAAAGAGCCAGCCAGGGCAGAAGATGCACTGGTTAAAAACCCATCCACTGCTGATCTCGGATAGAGAGGTCTTCCAGGGTGGCAGGGATGTTAAATTCCTCCAGCCCCATCCTTTGATTTCATCTGAGGCTCTCACAAATCCCATCCTCCCCACCATCCTTCCCCTGACCACCCAAATCCAGTTCCTTTCCGTACCCCTTCTCATCCTGCCTGGGCTCCACAGGGCTGGCACTGCCCACAGGGTCTGAAGAGTGCACATCAGTCTCACTGCTGGTTCTGTAGGTCTCCTCGTCCTTCAGGCTAGATGCTGAGTCAGAAGGAAAGAGCTTGTGAGCACACACCAGTGCTGAGATCTGAAATGCGGGCCTGAGGAAGGGAGGCTTGGAGCCTCCTCATGGAGCTCAGGGAGAAGCACTGGCTCTTCAAGTTTGCCGTTAGATGCCATAAAATTGATTCTAACTCATAGCCACACTGTAGTACAGAGTAGAACCATTCTGCTCCACAAGGCCTTTGATGCTGTCATCTTTACAGAAGGAGATCATGAAGTCTTTTTCCCCCCACTGAGTTTTGGGAGCCGCACTCTACCAACCTTGTGGTTAGCATGCTTGGTTGTGAATATAACCTCTTTCCTCTCTATCACCAGTGGGAATCCCACCTTTCTTCTCTTTAATCTGCTCCACTCTGCCCCCTCTCTGGTTTTATTGGGCTATTCAGACTATAGACCACACTGCTGTGGCTAATCTGCACCCAGCTCCCCTCTTCACCACACAATAGGACTCACCATACCTCATGCCCTGTGGGGATCATGCTCCTGTCTCTCATCGGCCTCAAGAGGCCTCAGCATTGGCTGCTAGGTCCCTCCACATCACATGACCTGCAACCTCATATGAATCTGCCCACTGGCTGAGTGAGTCCCTGGGCTCTGCCCTCAGGATTTAAAGAGATGAGCTCTGGGCACAGCGGTTAAGCTTTTGGCTGCTAACCAAAAAGTCACACCGCAGGACAGACATGGCAGCCTGCTTAAAAAAAAAAAAGATTTAATTCACTGCTGTTGAGTTGGGTTCCAGTTTCTGGTAACTGCCCACTGGGTTTCTGAGGTGGTAAGTGTTTAATGGAAGAGACTGTCTACCTAAGAGTGTCTGTGGATTCAAACTGCCCACCTTTCAGTTAAAACTCAACACCCCCCCCCCCATTGTATCTAGTGGGAAGTGACTCACAGCTGACCTCTCATTGGATTCCTAGTCGGAGATGACTCATCTTTCTCCCTGGAGCTGCTGAGGGATTAGAACAGCCGGCTGGAGTGGTGGTACCCTTGGCTTAGCAGGTTATATTTTATAGACCAAGCCACCAGCATTCCATAGCCTTTCCATTAGCAACTCTGTATGTTAGGCACTGGCCACCAGAACCCCTTTCCCTAAAGATCACCGCCTCAGACACCCTGTGGGGCAGTTCTGCCCTGTCCTCCGGGGTTGCTATGAGTGGTCATTATCTCCTTAATAACAGGTTTGGCTCTTTAGGTTCGTCCTAATTGGCAGCTGCACCCGTCAACCCTTTGCTGAGCGCCTTGCTCAGATTCCCAGACTCAGTTGTGTAGCCTCTGAAGGTTGTTTAAAGCGTCTCTGAGCGAACGCAAAATGCATGGAGCGTGTTGAAAGCACTGGAAGAAGAGTGGAGACCATGGGGTGGGGCAGGACGCTGTGCTTCCTGTGAGGTGAGCAGCTTGTGCCTGAGGAGGACTGGGCGCTGTTGGGTTGATTTATCACAGGCTTCCCAACCAGTGTGGTTTCCGTTCCCTGCAGCTGGGGAAAAGCTGTTTCCTCTCATTACTTTTCTCCAGGGTCCCCTGCATCCTAGGGGACCCTAACCCTCTAGGTTACGCAGGAGTCCAGGCACCCAGCGCGAAGGCGTAAGCTCACCTGGCCGAGTTATGACCAGCTGGACGCGGTGCAGGGTCTGCGGCCCTGCAGCCCCCTCCACCACGCAGCGGTACTCTCCCGCGTCCTCCTCCTGCAGGGTGAGCATGTCCACCTGGAGCAGGCCCCCGCCCAGGTCCGTGAGAAACACGCGTCTGGCCCCCCTCGGTGCTCCACGGTCCACGACCGAGGACGCGAGGGGCTGGCAAATCCCCGCCAGGAGCCGGCACCACACCTTCCGGGCCCTGATGTCCTTGTGGCCGTAGCGGCAGTGCACCGTGGTGGGGAGCCCCACAGGCACCCGCAGCACCTCGGGGGCGTCATCCAGGAGGTCATCCGCCAAGCCCCGGCCTAGGGAAGGAAAAGATGCAGATGCTGCGCAGATGCTGGGGGCGCTGGGGCCAAGAGGCTCACCTTCAGGGCCCCTCAGTGTGTGAACCTGATGCTGACTATTCCTGGGCACTAAGGGCTCGAGGCCCAGAGTGGCCGCTTCTTCCTAACCTTACCGGTCAGAGTCAGGAACAGCAGCAGGAGCAAGTTGGGGTCCATGGCTCAGCAGGGCGATGTCAGCCCAGGGCCTTGCTGCGCAGTGACACGGCACTCTTCTGAGGGCAGGAAATAGCTGCTACAGTCAGTCACGTGGGGCTCCAATGACCATGGGCTGGTGGGCACCACTGTGGGTGGGAAAAAGGAGGGCCTTTCAAACCCTGGTCCACTCAATGTTCAGGAGCTGACGTGGGGGCAGGGCAAGAAGGCCCAAGAAAAGGCTGCAAACTTGCAGACGTAGAACTCAGCTAAGGGAGGAGAAAGGAAGAGGAGCTTAGCAACTGGACAGCAATGTCCCTCCAGGGCCTTCCAGACAGAGGCTGAGAGGCCTAGCTGGCAAGGAGGGTGGTAAAGCATCTGCCCATGGCCCAAGGCCATTCTAATTCCAGATTGTTTGAGTGGCCTCTGCTATTCCAGCTCTCAGGAGCTGGTATTTTTCTAGGCATTACAACTTCTGACTCCAGCTCCTTGCACATTTCATTGTAATATTTTACTTTGACTTCCCGCGCTGCCTTTTAAAATCTTCTGTTCCAGCTCTTTAGTATCTTGAATTCTTCCTTCTGCTTTGGCGTCTCGGCGCTCCAGTGCAATATTCAGAGTCTCTTCTGACATCCCTTTTGGTCTTTTCTTCCTCCTCTGTCTTTACAATGACCATTTGCACTCTTCCTGGATAATACTCTTGATATCCTCCCACAACTCATCTGGTCTTTGCTCATTGGTGTTCAAGGCCTCAAACCTGTTCTTGAGATGGTTCTGAAATTCAGGTGGGATAGACTCAAGGTCATATTTTGGTCCCCGTGGATTCGGTTTAATTTTTCCTTAGCTTCAGCTTGAACTTGCATATGATTAGTTGGTGGTCTGTTCCACAATCAGCACCTGGCCTAGTTTTCATAGCTGATATTGAGCTTCTCCAGTGATTCTTTCCACAGATGTAATCGATTTGCTTCCTATGCATACCATCAGGTGAAATTCACATGTATAACCTGCATTTATGTTTCTTATAAAATGTATTTGCAATGAATAAGTCATTGATTGTGCAAAATTCTATCTCCAGCTTAATTTCTGTTACTGAGTGCATGTTTTCCAACTACTGATTCTTCTTCTCCGTTCCCAACTTTTGCATTCTAGTCACTCATTATTATTAATGCATCTTAATTGCATGTTCGATCAATCTCCCATTGTAAAAGTTGGTAGAAATCTTCTATTTTCTCTTTTTTTGGTTCTGGTTGTTAGTACATATATCTGAATGATACTGGTATTCACTGGACTTCCTTGTATGCATATGGATATTATCCTGTCACTCACAATATTGTATTTCAAGATGATCTAGAAATGACTTTTTTAACTATGAAAGCAACCCCATTTTTCCTCACCTTTTCATCTCTAGAGTAATATATGATCATCTGGCTCAAAATGTCCCATGCCAGTCTATCTCATCTTGCCAATAACTAGTATGTCAATATTTATGCATTCCATTTCTTCCTTAACAATATTTAATTTTCATGCATTCATGGTTATCATAGTCCATGTTCCAATTACTAGTGTATGCTTACAACTGTTCCTCTTCCTTCATATTTCCATAATTGAAAGCTCTGCCTCAGTTGCCCTGTTAGTCTACATGTGTTCTGTTGTACATAGGGTTTTCAGAAGCCTTCTGTTTCAGAAGTGGATAGCCAATCCTTCTTCTAGTCTGTCTAGTAATATAGTAAAATATTACAATGAAATGTGCAAGGAGCTGGAGTCAGAAAATCAAAAGGACCAAACTCGCTCAGCATTTCTTAAGCTCAAGGAACTGAAGAACAAATTTAAAACTTGAGTTCCAATAATTAAGGATGCTTTGTTGTTGTTGTTGTTGTTGATATTGCTGTTAAGTGCCGTCAAGTCGCAGGCAACTCATAGCGACCCTATGAAGGAGAGTCCTCGACGCTTGGGTGTCTTTCATTCTCTCTCCAGGTTCACAGGGTTTCCAGAGGCAAGCTATTACGGAAGTGGATGCCACTTCCCCTTCCAAAGGATGCTTTAGGCAGAATATTAAATGATCCAGGAAGTGTTAAAAGAAGATGGAAAGAGTATGCAGAGTCACTGTATTGAAAGGAATTGGCAGACATGGAAGAATTTCATGAAACAACATAGGAGCAAAAGCCTATGGTGATGAAGGAAGAAGTTCAAGCTGCTTTGAAGGAATTAGCAAAAAATAAAGCCCCAGGAATAGATAGTATACTAATTGACATATTTCAACAAACAGATGCTGCTCTGGACTTGCTCATTAAGTTGTGCCAAGAAATCTGGAGAACAACCACGCGGCCAAGTGACTGGAAGAGATGTATATTTGTTCCCATCCAAAGAAGCGTGACCCAACAGAGTATGAAAATTATAGAATATCATTGAGTTCACATGCAAGCAAGATTCTACTGAAGATTATCCAGAAACAACTGAAACAGCACATCAGCAGAGAACTGCCAGAAGTGCAGACTGGGTTTAGAAGGGGTCATGGTACTAGGAATATTGTAGCTAATGTTAGATGGATCCTAGATCAAAGCAGGGAATACCAGAGGCATGTATATCTGTGTTTCATTGATTATGCAAAGGCATTTGACTGTGTGGATCATAACAAACTGTGGCTGACTCTGAGAAGAATGGGAATCCCAGAACACTTGACCGTACTAATGTGAAACCTATACTTGGACCAAGAGGCAGTTGTCAGAACAGAGGAAGGAAACACTGCATGGTTCAAAATTGGGAAGGATATATGCCAGGGATATGTCCTATCTCCATACCTTTTCAACCTGTATGCAGAACAGATCATCTGGGAGGCTGAGCTCTATGAGAAGTGTGGGATCAGGATTGGTGGAAAACCCATGAACAATCTGTGTTATGCAGATGACACAACCCTGCTTGCTGAAACTGAGGAGGACCTTGAAGAACTTGCTGCAGAGGGTCAAGGATTGCAGCCTTTAATATGGATTAAGGCTCAATATCAAGAAGACAAAGATTCTCACCACTGGGCCAATTGGCAGCATCAGGATGGATGGTGAAGAGACTGTGATTGTTAATAGCTTTAGTTTGCTTGGCTCCAGAGTAGTCAATACTCTTGGCACCAGCAGCCAGGAAATTAAAAGTTATATTGCAATGGGAAAGTTGCTGTTAGGGACCTCTCCAGAGTACTGAAGATCAATGATGTCACTCTGGATATTAAAGTGCCCCTGACCCAGGCCATGGTCTTTGCCAATCACTTGCTATGCATCAGTAGTTGGACAATGACTAGGGAGGATAGAAGGAGAATTGATACCTTTGAGCTGTTGTGCTGGAGCATTGAATGTACCATGGACTGCTAAGAAAATGAACAGGTTCATTCTGGAGAGGGTTAAACCAAGCTGCTCCTTGAAGGCAAGGATTCTGAGGCTTTGTCTGAAATACTTTGGAAATGTTGCAAGGAGGGACCAGTCCTTGGAGAGGGGCATTATGCTTGGGAGGGTGGAGGGACGGCGCAGAAGGGGAAGACCCTCTATGAAGTGGATTGATTCAGTGACTGGGGTAATTGGGGTGGGTTTGTCAGAGACAGTGAGATTGGCACAGGACAGAGTGGGGTTTGGGGTTGTTGTACATAGGGTCACTGTGAGTCTCAAGTGACTTGATGGTACATAACAACAACAACATTACAACTTCACAGCTGGATGGTCCACATGGATGGAGGGCCCTGGCCTGGGCCTTTCATTACTGTGTGGGGCACTTTTAACAGACCAGTTGCCACTGAATCAATGTCAACCCAGAGTAGAACTGTGGTCCAGTGGTAGGTAATTGTACTGCCAACCTGAAGTCTTGCAATTCAAATTCACAAGCTACTCCTCTAGAGAAAGATAGACAATCACCTTCAATGTGATTTACTGCCTCTGAAAACCCACTGAAGGGTCAGCTATGGGACAATTTCCATTAGACAGAACATAGCTACAACAACTTTTTCTGGAAATAAATTAATAAGCCTTCTTCTGAGGTGCCTCTGGGCTAACAACAGAGCAAGTTAGTTGCACCCTTTAGGGTCTTCAGCACTCTTTAGACTCTTCCAGTCTGGTCTTTTCTTCTGAGTTATCAACTCTTCCTGGAAAGGCTTCCAGGCCAATGCCTGGGAATGAGGCTAGAAAGGGGTGGGATCATATCCGTTTTGAGAACAACAAGTCATGCTGCCATTTCTACTCTAAGATACCCAAGAATAAGTAAGCCTAGGGTGTTCTTGTGGCCCAGTGGTAAGAAACTGTGCTACAATCCAAAAGGCTCTCTGTTCAAATCCACCAGATTCTGTGTGGGAAAAGGATGAGCCATCTCCTCTCATGTGATTAACTGCTTCTGAAAACTCACTGGAAGGTCAGCTATGATTGATGTTCACTTGACAACACATAACAACTACAACAATAACAGGGCAAACCACTTGCCTTAAATTCTAGCTTTAGATGATCAACTCTTTCTGCAAAGATGTCTTACCCAACTCCCCTTCCTGAGCTTCAAATGTGGGAACAATGGCAATGGACACTTAACCTACTTTGCTCTTGTAAAAAGAGCAAAGGTGACGTGGGGAGTGTAGAGATGGCTCAATCTGCCCTTTACTAACTTCACAAGGGGAAACTGTCCCCACCAGTAGCATTCACAACACAAAACCAATTCCCTTGAGATGAGACCTGCCCTGCTTTCACTCCCACATCTCTTTCTATTCATTCCAGGACCCAGCCCACTGTTCTACTGGGGTCTAAAGTCCACTGCAAGAGCCACACAGACCTTACAGAAACATACTCACAATTACAGAGTTTATATGGGAAGTTATCAGGTTACAGCTCAGGTTGGCAACAAGATAGAGTTTCTCAGTCAGGACAGCTTCTGAAGTGTGCTCCCAGGTTCTCCAGCTTTCAACCTTGTGGCTTTAGGACAGTTTTAGAAAGCTCTCTTAGTCCTGCCTACTTTATCTTTCAATTTGTGATTATTCAAATTAATTTTTTATTTTCTTTTTCCCCCTCCTTTTTTAAATTGTGATTTTCACGGAATTTACAGAAAAGTTAGATTTTCATTCATTCATGATTGTACATTTTCCTCCCTATGCCCCAGTTCACTTTTTTAAAAGAAAAAAATATTCATTTATTGTTGTATAATTTCCTCCCTTCCTCTCTCCCAACCCTTCCCCCAGGTCACTTTGCTATATACCTCTCCTAGCAACATGCCCAAAATATGTGAGATGAAGCTTCACCATCCTTGCTTTCTAGAA